CGATAGCTCCGATTCCTGATTGATGTGTTCTTTTTGCTTTTTATTGTACGTGTCCTGTCCGCTTGCGAAACGTTTTGCGCTTCGTCGTAATGCTATCTACTACCCTCTCTCATATCTTGGAACTGTTGGGAATTTGATTTAACGGAAAATTATGCGCAGAACCATGACCGAAGATGAAGAAAACGTGAGAATGAATTGCGCCAACAGGCGCGAGAGCGAAAAACAAGGGCAAAGCTTTCCGTGAGTGGGTTGTCTACCAGGGGCAGTTGAAACATGTTCGAGACTTGCAACACAGGCGCTCAGGAGACCACCAGTAGCGCACGGTAAATCTACTTTCACCTATTTCCTGTTAAACGCTCGGAGCTTATATAATAATCTCTACAATTTCCATGTTTTTATTAGTCAGAATGAAACAGATCTTTTATTCGCAACTGAGATTTGGCTCACACCCATTATTCTTGGCTGGGAAATAGTAGCTAACTTGCCTTATATACTTTATCGCAGCAATCGGAAACACCGAAGGCGTGGTGGGGTATGCTGTTTGATCAAAGACAGTCTTTTCATTTCCCCTGTTGACGAAACTTTCAACCAAAGCCAATGTCTGCTTTGAACTATTCTGCCCTCGTGACACATCACGGATATGCTTTTCAGCTGTATACCGTCTACCGAATTCATTGAAAAGTGATGATGAAGAACTAGTTGGACTACTCCGTGACCTTGCCCAGTTCCATGCCAATAGCGTCATTGCAATAGACTTTAATCTTTTAATTGACTGGCAGCATCATTATGCACTCAATCCTTCATCGAATGCCTTCTTGGAATACTTCCAAGAGATGGGCCTACAACAGCATGTATGTATGTATACTAACGCATGGCAATAATATTCTTGATTTAGTCTCATCTGCGCTTTCCAACGTAATTGATTTTGCAATTTCAGTTCCACTGACGAACTTAGATCATTCTGTTGTTCCCTTCAGTCTGGTTGAAGAGGTTGTTGGTGCTTGTCATCTTCTTTTCCCTGATTTTTCCTTGATTGTGTTGATCCCGATGATTACTTACGGAATGGCTCCAGCCGTTTGAGCAATACGTCTCTGCTGATGATGATATGATATGCTGGGCTCTGTAAACTTGTCTATGATGGGGTTAGCAAGCTTTGCCTCGATGAATTTCCCGAAATCTAACAACATAAAATATCCATCTCATATAATAAATTTGTTATTCCAGAAGGACCACCTTTTTCAGAAAGTGGATTCCCCTTTGAGTTCCCCAATTTACAGAGAGGTATGCTCCAACGTTGACCGCCTTTGAAAGGTTCATTGCCAGGTACGAACGTTATCTTGAAAGAACATTTTCTGTGCGTCAATTGCACCTTTACCTTCGCAATAAACTGAAACCCCAGCCATCTCTTCCTGTTTTATAAGATCGGTTTGGGTCAGGGCTTTATAATGACTATTCTAAGGCTGAAGCTCTGGGTCGGTATTTAGCTATTGTCTTCTTGGACTCGATTACTTCTGATAGTGAAGTGGAAACTAGGCTGAAGTAGTTTCACCGTAGTCTGCCTGATATCTACTTCTACCCTACGTGGTGCTGAAAAGTTTGAAGCCTTCAGCTAGTGAACCTCTTGATGGAATACCTCAGATCATCTTCAAAAAATGCTGTAAATCACTATGTTATCCACTTTCCCGTTTGTTCAATATATCTTTCCTTCTAGGACAGGTCCCACGCCTTTGGAAGAAAGCTATCATTGCTGCTATTCCCAGGCACCCTAAAACTGCCATTGTAACTGATTTCAGGCCCATCGTCTTAACCCCACACTTGACAAAGTCATGGAGAAAATTATGTTCAGGAAGTTACTAGCCTGGTTTTAAAAGTCTCATCTCGTCTCAGCATAGAAGCACGGATTCCTACCTGGGGCTTCAGCTAATTTGCTCGATACCTTCTATGATGTTTGCAAGACTATAAATCGAGGAAAGTTGTGGACATTGTACATCTTGACCTTTCGAACGCCTTGATAAAGTCTGTTATCCTAAACTCATTAGCAAACTGGAGCACTACGGAATTTGTGGTAAAGCCTTGGACTGGATAAATCGTATCTATGTGACGTATCTTGATGACAGGAGCATAACAGTGCGAGTTAGTACTATTTACTCTACTGAGTACATTTGTACGAGTGGGGTTCCCCAAGATGGAGTATTATCGCCTTTATTGTTCTTGGTTTACGCCATCGAATTCCCTCAAATACTCACAACATGAAGTGATGTTAACGTACAAGCCTATGCAGATGACATTAAACTTTACGCTTCGTATGAATGTTCAAATAGAGCGAACATACAAAAAGCACTGGAGTTGTCAGTTATAAAAAGGAACAGTATGGGCATCTAACTGGGATATTCCCTCAAACTTGAGCAAATGATGCTTTTTGGGGACTATGCTGTGATGAACTATGTTGTAAATGGGATAAGACTCCCAACTTGTGACTCAACCAAAGCCCTTGGGATTATTTTTGATACCACCTTCAAAATGCCAAGATCCAGTCATACTACTGCGTCTTTACGAAACTAACGTCTTACCCTAAATAGAGTATTGCTCGCAGGTTTGGAGCCCGGCTCTCAAAAAAGATATTCTCAGGATAGAGCGAGTCCAGCAAGTGTACGAGCGTACCCTTTGGTATTGGTCCACACTTTGTGTAAGCTGGCTCAAACGATCTTCTCTCAAGTCTTTGCAATACAGACGGGTAGCGGCTGATCTAGTACTTCGGGGTTCTGTTTTAGGGTACTTCGAAAAGAGGTAAAGCTGTGTGCTATTAAGTACTGGTGCATCCCAGACAGTACTCTTTGATATTCAAAAATTTTTGCCATCTCTGTGCGAGATGGCTCAAATGGCTTCCGCCTGAGGTGCTACAAGCACCCAGCAGCATGATCTGCAAATAAAAGGCTCAACAAGATTGATTTATTACCAACATTGCGTATTTCAGTGTATATATTATACTCCCTTATTGTTATTCAAGCCGTTACTGCGCTGGTGTTCTTTCTAAAGGTTATCGCTCTTCACACGATCGATAGCATTCCATGGCACTGATGATCTATGAATGAATTTCATTATTTTCGAGAACATCGAGACTTGCTGTATTCTATGCAATGATTCCTCTTTCCATTCACATGCAGCCTCAGGCAATTTGCTCATACCTCCTTTCTACTTCCTTATCCCGCCAGGGCATCTATGTCTTCTTCATAGCTGAGATTATGTGTTTGCTAGAACCACTTTCCTATAATCTTCCTACATTTGATCTCCTAGTTTTTCTTCTCTCTTGAAACAGATGGGTTGCGGTATGGAAAACATATTTTGCTTCGTTGCGCTGTGGGCTTCAGTCGTGAGTTCTAGTTGTTTCGGGATCCTTTCGATTTGATGAAACCTCTCGTTTGAGGTCCCCCCTGGTCTGCTCGCCCGGGGTTCCGAACAAATTCGTTCGTAACGGACTATGTTATCAGCAAGCCTCGATACTTCACTCTTTTTTGCGTTCTGGACCTTGCGGGGGGACCCCTCATTTGCTAGACATGGGAGAACAACTCGATAGTTCACACATTGAAATGCCCTAGCTCTCTTTTTTTCCATTTATGACTCAACCTGCGGTCCTCTCTGCTTATCTTGTTCTAGTTCTGATCTTTTAATCTTTTGTTGTGATGCGTTTCTCTTGTTCTGTACTTATAGGTAAAATGAGATCCTGATTTCTAATTTCTAACTTTTTTGTGTGATTAACGGACACACCTTGCGATGTATTTGAAAAATAAATAAATAAAACAACAATGCCAAAGGCCAGATTCTAATGGAAAAGCCTTTTTACAATCCTCCACGCTTCAGAGTTCTCATCGAAGTGAAAGTTCGTTTGTGTATTACTCTAGCGAATTGTTCCCACACAGCACACAGGATTGTAGGAATCAGGCGAAGTGCTCCTGGCTGAATCAAAGGAAATTGGAGACCTATCATCTGGGTCCCTGCTGCCCGCTGATCATCAACTTCCGAGAGCGAAGTTTTTATGAAGAAGTCTTTAATCTTTGTTTTTGCTGGGAAATTATAAGTGTGTATCAGTATATCGTATAGCATCGGCATCATAGAATGTCTGTAGTAGTGCAAGGTTAGACCGATCAGACTCTACTAACTTCATAAGTTATACTATTATACTTTAGTCTCAAAATGACCAGGGATCCAGTCAGTTATCGATGAATGCAATATAATTGAACTCGCTAATTCTAGACAGCTTTGGGAAAAGGAGCTTGAGGAAAAGTCCGTGTTCTGAATCGGGAAGCAATTCTAGAAGCGTACCAAGCAATTTTTTCAAGGTAGGAATGTGTGGTGTGAACTTGGCGAGTGTTTTCGTACATCCTTAATGAATTTAAATGTTATCTTTTTCCGCGTTTGATTGAATCAAAGGTGAGTTTTTGGAACACTACAGCGATGACAGCAATTTTTGTTTATTTACATATAAAAAATTGACAATATATAAATGAGCAGATTGAATGCACAACAAACGAGTGAATTAGGGCTCTGCTGATCAGTGCAGTCACGAACCGACTGAAAGGCGTTGCACTGCTTAACAAAAGGAAATCTATTCTTTGCAAAGATGCACCGATATGAAAACACAGGTTTCTTTAGGAATTAACTAGCGCCACATCTCTTCACTTGCTGTATGATGCACCCTAAGAGATCATCCCAAAAATAAAATACGAAGCTTCATCGTGAATTAGTAGATTAGATAATAATAGTTAAAGTTATGGAAACATGGCCCTGCTGGAAGAAGTATAGAAGCCGAAAAAGAACTCGTAGGCAGATCAAGTCTTAGATTAACAACAACGGGAAATATGTGAAATAACCGTAGATCAGCCTTTGCAGAACAGCTAAGTAACTTCTGAACAAACTCTTCAAGTGCTCTCTGGCATTCGAAAACGCCTTCAAGTCACGTTAGCTATTCGACACTAAACTGAGTACTGCTAACAACAGCGTTTTTAGTTGAACGACTCTCCATAACGAGGCGGTCGTTGTTGAACTTTGAGGGATTTGTAGGAGAACATCATTGGCGTCGAATAGATAACCCCATCGTCTCGAACGAGTGTAATCGGCACCTCCGATTCCTCGCCACCGTAATCCCATCCGATGGCCTCACTCTTTATCACTGAATGAGCTGGAACCTGGCAAGTGAGCGATTCATCAGACCTGCAAATCAATATTTGAACAGCATACAGCAACTCGAACACAAGGTGGGGTTAGTCTCAAAACTACTTCTCAACTAAAAATTTCGTGAAAAAGATTGTGGGAAGTAGACCACACCCAACACATTCGCTCCATCGTGATCCTATGCGGTTAGATCCCTCACGAACGCGCAATATGAGGATCATGCACAATGAAGATGCTCTTCCCAAAATTCGAAAATTAGGCCTAATAACTAAGCAGNCATGAAAATCCTTCAACGCTTTTCATACCCGCATGATGACTAATGACAGTAGTATACAAGGGTCCCGCAAGTTTCGAAATCATTTTCTGCGCTGGGTTATTGTACTGACACTCCGGATGACAAAGGTAGTTTGAGATGATGCTCCCCCGACCAAAACCTACACGTATATTAACGTTAGTATACAGCTGAATGATCTATCCAATCTTCAAGAGCCCCGAGGCACAGCTTGATTGGAAATTATTACTGAAAGTTACCACATTCCGCTACAAGCTTCCAAGTGATTCTAGTGAGCTAGCGAAGCACAGCTTCTGATGACAAATCATTCGAAGCAATATCATAAATTTTTCAATACTATTACAGTGCAGAAAACCTGTCTTCCTTTACTCTAGAAAACGGCAGTGGCCAGAAGTTCGCCTTTGATGAAGGAACGAAAAGAGCTTCATGACAGTAGGCATATCAGAACTCTCTTTTCATATTAGAAGGAGTTCAAGAATACAATCCGATGAACTTGATGTTTCAGTGATCGCAGTAAGTTTCGTTCCCAGCCCCACTATGGAGATCATATTGTGGTCGACCGCAACTTAACACATTCACACCGTTGTGACCAGTAAGAAGCAGGCGGAAAAGTGGGAGGTATGCAGATTGGCGCTCGGAGCCTGCGTTCGTTGCCACACAGTGTCTGTCGCAGCGCAGCGCTGACACCACTAATCGTGCAAGATTGCCCTTTGCACAATATCAAAGCTAGCTTACCTTACCTTTCACTAACCAATAAGATTAGATTTGACTACTCGTCGGAAGGCATTTCAAATTACTGAATAGTATGATGCAACAGCGCCTAACACTCGACACTCAGGTTCTCTTTCTTGGAACAGTTTTGAAAATACATTGTAGAGTGTTTAGCGAAGCCAATACAATCTTGTCAGTAAAACCTCACCCTTATGTTTTAGATTATGAAATGTTGAACCTGAGGTAGTCATGCTGGTAAGGGATCCCAGAACAGCACACATATAGTGGCTAAAACAACAACTTCTCTGGAATCAACCCCTGAACTTCTCCATCCTACTAATCACCTTCCTGCCGCAACTTGCTGCGACACCCATTACTTCTTGTTTTGATGTTGTAGAAAATTAGAAGAATAGTTCTCGAAAAAGGGAGCACCGTGACTTTAGAGCTCTCTTTTGACGTCATATGTTGGAAGAATTTGCTGTCTCAAAAGCTACCCCTCTGTCACGGTGTCAATTACGGGTAAAGGCTAGATAAGCATATTCCACTACTATGGAAGAGATATATTTTTCACAAAACGCTGAAGACGGAGGACCTTCCTAATCGAAAACAATGAGACACGCTCTAAAGTTAGAGAAAAGAGAGTGGTAGCGAACACTCCCCATAATTTGTTAGAACGCTTTCAGAACTTCAGCTCAAGCTAGTGACCGAATGCTCAGGAAACACTTCCTCAACAGTCAACTGAGCCTTAGCCTAGCTAATCCAATCGCGCACACGACCCTAAATTCGATCCTGCACATATGGTGTCTCTCTGATGTGAATTTCTGCATCATTTTGGATGTTCTTCATCACGACGTCAACACAAGGAGACCTGGACTCACCTATAAATAGTTTCCACCGGAGTCGTGCCGAACCAAATCTTCAAATTTGGTTTCATATTGTAGCCAGTTAGCTCTATACGAGCCATATTATCACTTCCTGTTATATCCAAACCATTAACCACTGGAACCGGGGTTATCGGCTGCGATACAGGACCCATTGCTTCGAAGAAACGATATTCAGCCTGCAAAACGAAATTGAGAGTTGAAGTGGGGTGAAGTAATGAGTCTTTCTGAGGCACCTTATCCGTAGAAATAATCGTCCACGCAGCACCGTCACTGATTTGGTGGTGGGTTGCGTCGATTGGAGTTGCCTGAAACTTGGTAAATCATTAGCTGTTCGGTGGATTGGGCAACCATCACTGTGCTCATGTGCTCGAACTCATTACATCGAAGAAGAGAAATCAGCAAATGAATGAGATATGTGAGAAAATGGCCAGCCGACTAGGTCGCGCGGATAATGTATCGAGTGCGTAAACACAAGCAAGGAGGCGACGATTACGGTAGTCGAGAAGTGGCGAAAATCGATGAGCCCCATGGTAAGCGCCGTTGAGGCGAATGGGGCACTGGTGCAGCTAGACAGAATGGCAGCTCCACACGGAGTTATGCAACGGACCTGATGTTGAATGATCTTGTCGTGGCTGAGACACAAATAAACAGTTTCGTTGTCGATCATCTGGAAGGCACATTTGTGCAGTTGCGACACTGGCTCCTCGTTTGTTGTGGCGTCAAGGATAACGTGCTGCTTATCCACCTGAAACTCGAGGTTGATGGAAGAATGAGCTTCTTCTTCTCGAAGGCCTAACCAACCTTTCGTATTTTGAGACGTGGCAACGCTATACCAGTCACGCTATCAACTAGTTTTACAACCGATCCATANCTGAGACACAAATAAACAGTTTCGTTGTCGATCATCTGGAAGGCACATTTGTGCAGTTGCGACACTGGCTCCTCGTTTGTTGTGGCGTCAAGGATAACGTGCTGCTTATCCACCTAGAAGATCAAGGTTAACTGGAAGATGAGCTTCTTCTTCTCGAAGGCCTAACCAACCTTTCGTATTTTGAGACGTGGCAACGCTATACCAGTCACGCTATCAACTAGTTTTACAACCGATCCATAATACACGAAGCCGTCTTTCACCGTGAAATTTTCCGACTCAGGAGCTGTTGGTTCGTCGTCGACTAAACTTTTGTTAAACAGGTACTCGTAATTTTAAAGGCAAAGTCACACAAAGGAAGGTTTACTCACATAAATGAATAGTAAACGCTCCCCATTTAGTTGAGCTCGCATGGAACGCTCCATTGTCCACATGTAGATAACGAGTGCTGACAGTCTGAGAGCGAAGGCGATTGAAGAGCGCCACCTGAGGGAATACTTTTCAGATTCGATGTGCTGGACAAAGAACTACTGGAGAGAAAGGTTCCGAGGCTAATGAAAAGTGAGGCCCAAAACTTCTCAACTGGAGTCCGACTGTGGCAGAGTCGTAGACTTTAGGCGGGGTCCCGAGTGAAACTGGATCAAGTTAAGACAAATATCATTTTTCCCATAGTTATGACAGATATAGCCCTGCTTAAGGGCAAATCCCCAAGAGGCTGAAGTTTTTTTTTTACCTAAGGGCACCCATAAGTTTGTAATAGTCGACATGGATGCCATGGAGACACTCTTCATAGAGAAGTGGGGAATTAATCCGAGAAAGACGTCGGTGGAACACTAACGGAATGAAAACGATAGAGTAGGAGAAAAGGGGATCTGGAGAAAGCCAACTAATCTCTTACCCAGGATAAATTTCTCTGCAAAATTCCAGCTTCCCTCCCCATCCAAATTGTGTGAACCTTTCTGGGTGAACTTCGAAGAAGTACGAATACTGCGATACTTGTACCTTATTCGACCTCAAACTCACTTTAGTTCCTGAAGCAATACATAGGTATTTACAATCTGTGTTCTTCATACTCTGTTTCTTCTTTGATGGTTTGCTGATTACCTTAAAAAAAAGAATAATCGAATGCAGAAGGCAGAGGAAATGCGCTGAGGACCATCAACGTACTTTGATTCGTTGCGAAAGGAATAGTCCTATTTCAACACCGCAGCCATAAAAAAACTGAATTGATAGCTCAAAATACTTTCGTTTGTCTGAATCACTGATGTAGAGCGTCTTTGCAGCACAGTAATCCTAAGAAATAAAAGCTTGAGTCAGCACGTACGTAACATTGGGTCGAACCAACTTTTCCATTCGAGAAGTCGAGTTGTTGTCTTTCTTGATCAGACGGAGCACCGATACCGATGAATGCGCACAACTCGCTGGCTTGTTGCTCCTTAAAAAGATGAATTCGATCAGGTCGGCCAGGGCTGAGTAGTTAGATTTTGGGCAATAACATTTGGATATACCTTGAAGGATAAGTGCAGCGGCTCGGGGTCTTTTCTCACGGGAAAGCTCCTATTGTTTGAATTCTAGCCTCGGGTAAACTGATGCTCAACCTGCTTTCGGTTCAAATATCACGAATTTCACTGTCTAAGCTCACATTCGACAAACCTTCTCAAGTATCCGAGGGACTATAGGGAATTTTGATGAACAATAAAACAGGGCAAAACAACATCAAATCAGTCAATATTCAACTGTAACGGGAGGATGTCGTTAGCTTATACATTGGCAACTCAGGAGAAGACTGNTTGAAGAATTATTTGTATTCAACAAACTTGAGCTGGAACACAAAGGGATAAGATCGTGCTAAGTAAGATTATCCGCCCATCAACTCTGGTCTCCTGCGAAGAGGAAAAGGGAGTCAACGGTAGATGATGTTCTGGGGTTGCGACTCAAATGCACAAATATGGCGAATTTGCTAGACAACACGCTTTTGAAATTCGTGATAAGCCTAAGAGCCTGGCGCGCCCCATACATTTCACAAAACCCGTACCCATCGAATCTGATGTTCTGTGAGCAACCTCTTTCTCCCGAATATTTGGCCTACATCTATTGTTTCGGAGAAGTCTCTAGGGACTAGTGTTCATCCTTGGAAGGTAAGTAACCTACAGAAATACGTTCATGTTCCGGACCGAGTTCCGGGGCGACACCCATTCGCTTCTGATGCTCTTTGAAGGACTTGTACAGGGTCTCCACCTAGAAGACATATTTTCATTCGAATGTTTCGAGTCAATGGGTATGGAGAGGAGCTTCACTTACTCGATTGCGCTTTTCTTTCCATCCTTCACCTAACAAATAGATACATGGAGGTGGACAGAAGAACCTGAAAAATTATATCATAACTCCAGTCTAATTACTCTACTAAGAGACTACAGTAATCCGAAATGAAACTTCAGTAATAATAAGGATCACACTCGCTGTTGTCCACCTTCCACCTCATTTGCAGCGTGAGAAAACACCGTAACCACCATAACGTTGATAAATCAGTTGATATTGGAAGTTGTTAAGGACACATGCACTACAGCTGTTTTTGAGGTTGAGGTGTCTTAAGGCATCATTTCTATCCATACACCGTAAAATAACTTTCACGGGCATGCATGCCAAAGTTGGTCGCCAGGTCGACGATTACCGTAATCCCTACCGCCCATGCATTATTAGCCAATTACCATCAATATGTTCCTTTATTGTGAGAATCGGCGCACATTATCTATTCTATTCATAATCAAATTTTTCGACATCGACGTCTTCCAGTCGATCGATCGAACCCAAACTACGACTTCCCTTAGACTGTACTGTAGCCCGTGGAGTTGCTTGCTGATGTTCAATTCACGGATTTGTTCAACCGAACAACGGCCACAGCATGTTTAGGCCTCAGGCTGTAAAGAGGTCTATAAGAACAGGGGACATGCTTATTGTCGTCATCCGTATTTAAGAGATCTGCGTCAATTAGCGAAGTCGCTGAGCAATCTGCGTTTGCTATGCGCCGTATGCTAATTGAGATAAGCCGGAGTGTGCACGATTAGGGTTACGTCTAGAAGCGACAGCTGACAACACACAGCTCAAGTGCGCGAAACAGTAACGTCTCTGGGAACCCCACGAACCCACTCAGACAGGTGTCATTAGCTCTTTGAAGTCAACGCCGTTCTAGTTATCCCTTTAATACCAGTTGCCTCCGTCATCAAGACTTACCTTTTCTCATTACCGTACGACTTCTGAGCGACTTTCGCATGAAAGATCGTAATGACGCAGTCATACTGGTCCCTGTTACATAAGTACTGTGCCATTCGCTCACTGAAAAAGATAAATTGAAGTAAATTCACAAAAAGAAGGCAAGAAAAGCATATGCAGCTGAACCTTGTCAGCGGTTGAGGAGTGTCACCAATCGCTAATTGTAGAGGAGCAGAATGAACCATGGGCTGAATGAGCGAGGAGTATGGAGCCGCTGATCCATTGAAGTCACTACCAAGGAATGAAGACGAGGCCGAAACATTGTAGAACTGATCTGAAACGGTGCAGGTTTCGTTCACATGACCAAATATGCACAGTTTCGGCACATCTAGTGAAGCGCGGCCGACGGTTTGAACACCGTTCCCATTGCAGGAGCCTTTGTGTCTGTTCCCGCTACAATAGACTACCCAATGTTCGGTGTCATAAAAAGAATGTGGGATCACCACTTGGTGAAGCCTATAGAATTCAAAATCAACCAGTACATGGCTGGAAGAACGGGACGCATTCTACAAGTACTATCAACGACAGCCTACCCATTCCGCAGTGTGCGAGACCTTGTTGACCATAAAAAAGATGCCGCGGATGAATCTGTGAAGGAGAAGGTACTGCAGTCGGTTGAAAGTTGCATGGAAAATGTCCAATGTTCCACATATCGGTAGGTTGTGGAGGATAATAGTAAGAACCGGCCGACGAGACATCCTGCACTGGTAAGTGATAGGGAACGGATCGTGTGACCGTCGACGCATCGTCACCGCAGTACTGGTGCGGATCGACGGCACCGGAAGGTGGAGGAGGGGCACTCGCTGTGGCTGAAGATGCCGTCTGGTAATCCATGGCGGGAATCTCTCGTTCGGCCGACACAAGAGTAGTGTGGGATGGGAATCGCTCGCACGTTGATGCACACAGGCCCGAGAGGATCTAGCTGTGGGAGTCTCCCACTAGCTCCACCAGCACCAGCCACAGCAGCCCATAGGGGCGTGGCCATGACGTCTCCGCCAATGAGCACCGCTGTTGCCCTCAGCAGCAGATCAATGCGTTGGAACGGTATTCAGAAGACGAAGTCCCGTACTCGTCCAGCAAGAGCCAAAAGCTGGTAAGGTCATGGGGAATTTCCCAAAGAGCACGCTCGGCAGGGAAGAGCATGAGAACAAAGGTCGAGGAGACCGACAGGGAGATGATAAGAATGCGAAAGATTACAGGGAAATGAAGGAGAACAGCGCAACATTACACAAATCACGGAATAATAATGATATTTTACCGAAAAGCACATGGAAACTGAAGCAAGCATATGTGCGCCGAGTGGGATATTCATGATTCATTTATCACTTAGCGTGCTTATTGTTTGAAGAGGGCTCATCTTGCCACCAGCTGATGTCTCGACTGACCCCGTTTAACGCCATAGAATACTGCTTACTACGAACGTTATCCGCGGAAACGATTAGTGGGGATGATGGACTTCACAATATGAGGAATGTGAAAAAAAGCTCGAAGAGCTCAATCGAAATGTACGGTAATCCACAGCGGTAAAGGCAAATCATGCCACCGAGTGAGACGGCAAACACTCGATAAGTCATGGGAGGGTGGATATAGCAGCTCATCAGAGCCACCGCTTCACTCAGCTCTGTGTACGCGACAAACGTGGCACCGCAACTCACACATACAGTTTGTCAATAAGAACACGAAGCCAAGTCGGAGAGCACTACACTCATGGGCAAGACCCAAAGGCAAGAGGAATAGGCTCAAAACTCACTATCAAAGATGTTTGAATTAGCCGGAGAGTAGCAGCTCATATAAACTAAACTACCGAGCAACTTAGCGCACTGATAACTGATGAGCAAAGACTGGCTGATAAGATGGTTCTGCTTGAACTAAGCACGCGAAATTCACTTCAAAACTCCCTCCTTTCGGTTTTGCAGGTTTCCCAGTGGAGGGAGGGTGTCAATAGTGGTCCAACGCATTCTACTACATCATATAATTTTATTGAATTAGCCAAGCTGAGTTGGGATGAAAGTCTTCTTGTTTTCTTTATTGATCATATTCTACGTCTCAACTTTACAAAGTCGAACCAAAACGGAATCCTGAACGACTAATATTCCTCTTTCGCATTGATTACCGTGAGAAAGCGTGCCCCGCGCTATACACAATCTCCCCACCAGATTTACTTGCTTTTAGAGGTGAACGAGAAGGAGAAGGAATGCGGGGAACCTCTTACTGGTTGAGGTCTATACATCGAGATGATCTTCAAACAAAACATACAGTAGTTGAAGTAAAAAAAATTGCGCACCCCTCACGAGACTATCGTAATAGAATTTCGTAGAAGAAATAAAGTAGAAGTACAAGTAAGAAAAGTAAAAGCATCATCAATAAAGGCCGGATCAGCTACTGTCTGCGTTCTCTAGA